GCAGCAGATAAAGGTCGCTTCTTCAAAAAGTTTGTCAGTAACAGGAAGAAGAGAATTTAGATGGTCGCTGGAAGGGGCGCCAGAAATAAGGGAACATTCTTTTCAAGGAGGGAAATCAAAGGGGGTGCTTATTTGAAAACAGGAAGAAGGTGAAGCTCCTGGAGAGAAAAGAATGAGTGTGTGAACCAGTCCTGAAGAGTTAAAGCCTGGGAGAGTGAGGTTGTATGGAACTGGATCTTTAGAGAGGGAATATTTCTGCCTCTGTAAGAGTGAAGGGAAAGGGAGCTCTAGAGAAGCCTCTGTGTATTCAATTATGGGAGTGTATTTTAGACATTAACTCTCACTAGTGGGAGATCAAAATAAGCAACTTCAAAAATCATTTTGCAAAATAAACCTAGTATGATGATTTAAAGTATGTCCGTAATACATTAAAGTTTAAAATATCACCAAGCATTTGTTTGGCATTCACTGTGTGCCAAGCACTGTGCTGGGTTCTTCTGCCTTCAGGGAGCTTACATTTTCCTTTAGGATATAGCATATTAGGTAGAGGGGGAAGGGAGAAAGGCCGGCTGGGCCTGGGATTCCAGTGGCATAGGCGATACCTTTTCTGCAGTTAGAGATTATAAACCTTGGAGATTATCATCTCTTAGAGCGTTGGTGAGAAATCTGAGAAGCTAGATCCTAGGGTCTCCCAGCCAGTTGGATTCTGGACTGGAACTCAAGTTTTCCTGGCTTGAAGGTTGGCTCTCTATCCACTATGCAGCGTGCCTTTCCTGTACAGCGAGACTGTATGGCCCTAAACGTACACTGATTTGGAAGGGGACATGAATAACTGGGGAAATTGGGAAAGGCCTCTTGAAGTGAGGAGAGAGAGCATTCCAGTCGTGGGGCACACAATCTGTGCAAAGGCAGCGTTCTGTACAGGGAGCTACAAACAGACCAGTTTGACTGGAATGTAGTGAATGGGGGAAGTAATGTGTAATCAGCCTGGAAAGACAGGCTGGAGCCAGATTGTGATAGGCTTGAAATGCCCCATTAGCACCCCGGAAAAGGAATGCAGGTGGCATTGTTTGACATTAGGTTCGTGTGGAACCTTTTTAACAAAAAAAATGTATGGGGTTTATAAATAGAGCACAATGTATCTTATTAGAAGGACTTGTCTATATATTATTTAGAAAGATGAGCAAAACCCTATTTCCATTGGGAGTTGGTGTTTAGCTAGTGCAGAGCACTCACTAACCATTCAAATGATGCTTCTTTTCATTCTTTAGCTGTAAATTTGCCTCCAGAGGGAAGATGCTAGTTAATCAAAGTGCAGGCAGTGCTGGATTTTGTAGCACACTGAATTCTTGGAAATTATCTGAAAGCAATCTGAGCCCACAAAGATAAAGTTTTTTAGTCTTATGCTCTTGCTCGGTAAAATGTGGACGAAGGACTATATACTCCCCAAGGTTCCTTCTTAGCTCTAAGTTGTATGAACCCATTTTACTAAAACTCTTACCTTTGGGTATGAATAGTATATGGGAAGAGTTTAAAATACATCACTGCTTAAAATATGTAGTGTTGACCTTATCAGAATGGAGCCCAGGGCTATCTCTGAGGTCAGGTCATGTAACGTAAAAAGCTTCTTTGTGGGAAAGCATGTTAAATGAAGCGTTCTTGATTAATGCTTTCAAGGTTTGTATCATAACTTAGATGGAATGGCCTTCTCTTATTCTGTTACATATTTGTGTTCCAGATTCCCAGATTAACATGTCATTGTAAATTAAATACTATAATACACATTTCTCATACGGTGAAATAAAGTCTAAGGACACCACAAAGCAAAATCTCAGGCCTTAGGTTTTTTTTTTTTTTGGTATTAGGTTTGTTACTCTGTGTGAGTATTTATAGATAGCATTGAGATGTGTATGGTAGTGGAAAGAACACCATAGACCTGGGTTTGAACCCTGCCCCCAGTGAGATGTTCCACCCTGGACAAGTTACTTAGCTCTGGGAGCCTACTTTCTGTTTCTCTAAAATGGAGAGAATACTTGGTCTCTCCACCTCGAAGGGTTGTTGTAATGAAAGTGCTTTGTAAACCTTAAAATACCATGCTGATGTGAGCTTATAGCACTGGACAGCTTTTTTTTTTCAGTTACACATGAAAAGTAGGCCCTTGCGATTGTAGGTGAATTTTGTAGTAGTTTTTGTTCTGATTTTTAAATGCAGCTTTTGTTCAGATTTCAAATACAGCTTCAGATTTTGTCCATTGCCCACACAGCATTTTCACAGGACTCACCGTTTTGTATTTTAAAATTGTTTCTTAGCTAATCAAAATTGCTCATTGAATTTGGCCAAACTGTAGCTACAAATTGTATTTTGCCTTAGTATGGCATATTGCTTAAGTCCAGTAGGAGATCCCAGCCCGCTCGAGCTCTGCCATGCTGTGCTTGGACTCCACTGGCTCCCTAGTATTGTTGTTAGCTTTTCCATTGGGGGCATTTTTTGATGGAAACATTCCTTAGACTTTACCTATATTTTCCAAGAAGTTCAAATGTGAATCCAAGAAATGGCTCTTCAGTGACGTGTTACATCCCATAACTTTATAGGCTTTGAAAAGCTTGTTGACAGTTTCTTGGTCTTTTTCTGTCTTGGAGTTTCCCCAAAAGTTCTTTGGTCCCTTTTAAACATGATTTTCATGTACCTCCTTCAGCTATTCAAAATGTTCAGCTTTTGTCACTTTCCTCATTTTGAGGAAACACAAAATACCCCTTCTTTCGTTGGAAAATGCATTTTTCAGATAAAGAAAACCTGTCAGTCCATTACCTTGACACCATTTTTCATGAAATGAAGTTTAATGTGACATGGTGTTCAGAAAGTTTGTCTGGTCTGACACATATTGGACTTGCTACGTTTCTCTTTCTTGGGTTAATCTCTTTCTTTGGAGGCTGGTATGCTTTCTTCTGCCTCTGCTCCTCCATCTACAAAGAAAGTGGTAACAGTGGGTGGCCCCTGTTGTAATCCTTGTAAAACAACAATTCCTTTCAGATCCCTACCGAGCCTATGTCTCGTGGTTAATGCTTCTGGGGTGATCTTATGTTTTGGTTTGCATTTTTGGGCCCTCTAACAGGGGACTCCATTCTTTTAGTGTAGAAGCCCCCAGTTTGGATATGTTAAGATGACAGGTAAGGTCATGTGGGTTGGCTTGAGTGAATTAATGAGCATCTGGGGAAGGGAAGGCTATTTGGACTTCTCAATTCAGCAGATATCTATTAAGCCCCTACTACATTCAGAGCCAGTGGTAATAGGTGGTGGTGCAGTGCCAAGAAACCAGCCCATGTCCCCAAGGAGCAGAAACTCTGTAGGAGTTTCCAGTCTGTTGGAGGGTAAGACATATACGTGACTAATGCTAATATAAAATGATCAGAGCTAGCACTTGTATGGCGCTTTTAAGGTTTGCGAAGTACTTTACAAACATCTCATTTGATCCTCACAACCACCCTTTGAGGTAGATTATATTTGAGGCAGATAAGGAAATACAGGCAGGCAGAAGTGAAGTGACTTGCCCAAGGTCACACAGCTAGTGTCTGAGGTGGGATTTGAACTTAAGTTTTCCCGACTCCAGGTCCAGCCCTCTGCTGTGCCACCTAAAATAGTACATAAATACATAAGGAAGGGAGGGAGGTGCAAACCAGGTTCTATATGAGGGTCAGGGATGTGGGTGGGGAGCACATTGTTATACCTGAGGGCTGGGGGAATCAGGAGAAGCTTCCTGGAGGAGGTGGTATTTGAATTGGACTTTCAGTGATGGGAAAGAGTTCGGGGGCAGAGAGGCAAGAAAGCTTTTATTGTTTGAAGTGTAACCTGATTTTTTTTTTCCCTCCTTAGAAATAATAGTATAATAGGGGTTTAGGTTCCTCATCCCTGTTCTAGACCATAACAATGGCCTGATGCCCATTTAAAAAATAAAATTGACCACAAATACCATATTTAACCTACTATAAATGAGATAACTCTATGCTATATAAAGTGTACAGTTTCCTAGATTAACTAAATAGAGGCAATATTGTTGTCATTCATTGAACAAGTATTTTTTTCTGTTTTTTTTAATTTAGTATTTTATTTTTCTCCAGTTACATGTAAAAACAATTCTTAACATTCGTTTTTATCAACAACTATTGATTGAATGCCTCATATATCCGTAAGGTCCTGTGTGAGGCGCTGTGGTGGTCACAGGAATTAGAAACATATACTTCTCATACTCAGATTTCCAATCTAGTACAACTTCTTGTTGGTTGTAATCCAGCAATCTGTGCTGTAGAATTTAGTCTAGTCTAGTAGAATATAATCATTTTCTATACAGAGTTCTCAACTTCTTCATGATTCTGGACTTTTCATTACTGTAGAAGATCAGAAGATGAAGGTGCAGCTTTGGAGTCAGGGAATTCACAAGGGTTTCTTCAGGAACATTTGACAGATTTTGGGAGGAGATGGGCTTGGGATGCTTGCCTTCAAAATCGAGCAAGTAGGCCGGTAAAAGGCCCTCCTGTATTTGGGGCAGAAAGTGAATGGTTTGGTCCTCTTCTCCCCTCCTTGCAAGAATGCTTGGCTGCCAATGGCAGAATAAAATGCTTTGCCTTCAACGAACCTTCAGTTGCTAGATGCACATCAACATTTCTTTAACTCACTTAGAAAAAGCAGACTTCAGTTAGAATCTGACTTTATTCCTTGTTGCCATGCTCATGGGCTTAATTAGGATTAACATTCCAGGATCTGAATTCATATGGTATAATTTTTAAAACTTCCCAGATTAATTTTTTGAACTATACACTATCTCAGCTAATTTTCAAAATTGTAGCCAATGGATTTATCCAGGGAAATCGAAGCCAAGGATTTTTTGTGTGTGTGTGTGTGTGCGTATGTTTTAAACACCAGGTCAGCCTATTAAAGTGACATGATTTTACAAATAAACTTAAAGAAGTTGAGTGGAATATATCTTTTGTCTTTTTGTTTTCAAGGTTTGGCTTGAGCAACAAGTTTGATACTGAATTTCCTTCAGTTCTAACAGGGAAGGTAAGTAGCAGTTTGTACTGAATTTTTCAATAAAAAAAAAAGATTGTTGTGAACATAGCAAAACCAGGAGGGCAATATACATAATAACTGCAATAATCTAAGGGAAAACAGCCCCGAAAGGCAGTTGAACGTTTAAGTGTAATGATCTATCTCAGCCTCAAGGAACAGCAGAGGAAATTGACTACCTACCACACTTTGGATGTGGAATGTGGCATGTGCTAGGCCTTTGGGTTGTGCTAAAATGGTTGTCTTTGTTACAAGGGAGAGTTTAGGGTGTGTGTGTGTGTGTGTGTGTGTGTGTGTGTGTATGTGTGTGTGTGTTGAGAGAGAGAGAGTATGAAGGGGTAAAGGGTTAAAGGAAAAATAAGTTATGATATAAAATTTAAAAGTATTAACAATTTGATGCCAAGGACAATCAAACTAAAGTAAAAAGATGTCCATTTCAGAAGTGTCTTGGCTCACTGTTTATAAATTCAGACTTGAATACACTGAACAAACACATTGACTGAATGTCAGTGTTCTAGCAACTGCTGTCCCTTGACCAGTTATTGTGCCTAAATCTTCTTCCTTTCTACAGCCATCATTTCTTTATGTGTAGAACCTTATTATGTGACCAGACCCTCCTCCCCTTTCCCTCATACAGTTCCACACTCTGAGCTAATCTGTTGTTTTTTTTTTTTTTGAATAGTAGTGGATATACTAGATAATTGTGCTGACCTGTAATGGAGAGAAATCTAGGTTTGAATCCTGCCTTGGACATGTACTAGCTGTGTGACCATGAGCAAATCCCTTAACTTATCTGAGCCTCAGTTTCCTCTTCTGTCAAATGGAACTGACATTAGCACCTAACTCATAAGGTTGTTGGAAGATTCAAATGAGATGATGTAGGGAAAGTGCTTTGCAAACCTTAGATCACCATATAAATGTCAGTTATTGTTTTTGCACCTAATTAGGGATGCTGTGTAGTAGAAAGAGCATTGGACTGCTGGGACTCGGGAGAATTGGCCTTAAATCCTAGTGCTAACACTGTGAAGGCAAGGAATTAATAACCCTTGCTTGTTGAACCAGGTTGCTCACCAGGCTCCTTCCAGGACTAAATTACATGATTGATAGGATCTATCTTGCAGGGTGCATGCATGCAGAAAGTGCTGTGTAAAGCTTAAAAAGCTAGAGAAATATTGGCTTTGCACTGGTCTTCCTCCTGAAAGTTTTTTATAGCATATATTTATATTGTAAATTAATGTGTATTAAAACGTTGTTTTGAGATTGTTACAATAGCTCCTCAGAGAAAATTGTAGACAATCTGACATATAGAGAAGCCAAGGTTGGAGCTGCTGCTTTAGGTCATTTCCTGTCCCTTTGAATTCTCAGTTCATTCTGACTCAGTAGCACATGAAGGCCCCTGGGGATCAAGTTTGTCTGCTGATATTAGTGGCTTCTTTTTACTATGATGTCATGCCATTACTATCCATATCCCAGTCTCATTCCCACCCCCAAACCTGAAGTGATGTATCTGTTATTTTCAAAGGACATTCAATCTGAAAGCCTAATTCATAGAATTCAGAGTTATAAGGAACCTGACAGATCAGCTAGTCCATCTTCTTTGTTTTACAGATGGAGAAACAAATGCCCAAAGAGACATTATGGGTATTTGTATAGGAAGTAAGAGTTACAAGGATTTAAACCACAGCACCCCGACTTCAGTCTCATGACTTTGTGCCTTCACCATGCTTCTTCTTGAGAATCTAGCCAGATAGAGTGTTTTGAACTTAATTTATCTATTTTCCTTTCATTTTTCACTTAAAACAAAAATCACATTTAGATCAGCAAAAAGTTCTCTTTTGTTATAACTTTGAAGGAATCTTGCATCATTTTGGCATCTTCTTGGGCGATGCACGATTGGAGGAGATCCTATCTCTGAGGTGTCTTTGCTGTGCTGAATCAAGAGCTTTCTTGTAGCCAGCAAACAATAAACACAGTGAGATCTTGGGATCTTGCATTCTATACCTCTTTGAGTCAGTTGTGTGACAGTAAAGATGTTGTTTGCTGTGTCTCATGCCTAGCAAGAACCTGCCCAGTCCCTCCTAGTTCCCTCATCAAAGATGCATTCAGATGTGGAAACTATTCTTATAAAAATTTTATATGGATTGGAAATAGGTACATGGGTCTGCAGTTAGTAATGTTCTCTCAGTTGCCTTTAAAGAATAATATATGAGATTTTTTCCTATGCTTTTGTCTCCTTCCCTGCCTTCAGATACCTTGGGAATTGATTTCTCCATACCATCACAGTTGGCTTGTCTCCAGCATTGACCTCCTCTGTATACACTTTTGTTTTCATTTCATTCATTCAGCAAGCATTTATTAGGCACCTATTGTGTGCCAAAAATGAATCCCTGCCTTTAAGGAACTTACATTCTTCTGCAAGGATACAAGTCTTCCCAGATAAACTGATGAATAGATATCTTCATTTCTATCTGTAGCTATCTCTATTGAGAGAGAAAGAAATTTTCATGGGAAAAGGGAGTGCTGTAAACAACTGGGGAAAATAGGGCAGGCTTCTTGTAGGAAGAGACACTTGGGTGGAGCTTTTAAGGGAGCTCCAGGTTTCAAGAGGTGAAAGTAAGGAGGGGAAGAGCATTCCCTTCTGTCCCAGGGACAACCTGTGCAAAGGAATGGAATACTGTATGTGGGGAACGGCAGGTGGTCTCTACTAGAGTGTGGAATTCATGAGAAAGAAAATAACATTTAATTAGCTAGGATTTGAACCTAAATCTTTTGACTCCGGATTTCAGCATTCATCCCTTCTACCACATTTCTGTTTCTATTTGCTTTGAGTAACTGTAGAAAAAAAAGTGCCAGGGTTCAGATCCCTATTTCAGTACTTATAGGTTGTGAACCTTGGGACAAGTTACTTCTACTCTGTGAGCCTTAGTTTTTTTATCTTTCAGATGGAGATGATACTTATACTTCCGACCTCACAGGATTGTTGTAAACAAAATGCTTATAAACCTTAAAATGTTATAGAAAAATCAGTTATTATTATTAGAAATGTTACTTTGTATTCATGGTCCCAGATATTATTTTCAATTATGTTATTATTCCTGAAAAGCCAAGAATTAACTATAATGTGGCCAGCATAGTTTTATTTAATATGTGTTTCTCAATGTAAAAAGGATTATGTCAGTTTCTTGATGATGATAATAACTGACATTTATAGTGTTTTATGGTTTAAAAAAATCAAATTAGCTAAGAGTTTATTATTGTTTTAGGAAAAAACAGCCCTTAGCTTAATTTATCAGTACAGTAATTTTTTTCAATTTTGTTTCTCTCTTCCTTGATTTCCAGAGTTTCTATTTTCCTTTTTATTCAGAGTTTTATAATTTGTTTATTTTTTTTTTTTAGGTTTTCAAAACATTAGTTGCAAGCTAAATTAAGAGACTTCTTTTTTTTGTTGATGAAAATGTTTAGAGGTAAAAATTTTTCCTTAAGGACTGCTTTGGCTGCATCCCAAAAGTTTTGGTATGTTGTCTCATTTTCTTTGATAAAATTATTTATTGTTTCTTTATTATATTTATTGTTCTTAGTTCCACTCATTCTGTAGGATTATATTATTTAGTTTACATTTAAGTCTGACTCATTTTTTCAGATTCCCCTTATTGATTTTCATTTAATTTTTTTTCACTTTGGCCTCTAAAGGACATTTAATTTTTCTTCATTTCTTTATGAGTTATTTGTATCTAAGCACGTGGTCTGGTTTTATAAAGGTGCCATGCAGAGTTCAGAAATTGGTGTGTTCCTTATGATTCCCATTCAGTAACCTCGAATATTTAATTTTTGGAAAATTCTGTCGATTTAGGTCCTTAACTTCTTGTTTATTAGATTTTTCTAGATCTGAAAGGGGACACAGTGAAATCCTCCAGCAGTTGTTTTGTTGTCTATTTCTTTCTGTAATTAAGTTGATTTTTCCTTTGAGAACTTAAATGCTATGCCATTTGGTGCATGTATATTTAGTATTGATGTTGTTTCATAATCTGTGATGCCTTTAAATATAATGTAGTTTCTTTCCTGTTTATCTCATTTAACTACCTCTGTTTTCACTGTAGCCTTGTTTGAGATGATGGTAGCCACCTCTGCTTTTTTGGATTCAGTAGTGATATAATAGATTCTAGGCCAACTCCTCATTTTTACTCCTTGTGACTCTTTATGTTGTATATGTATTTCTTATAAATAACATGTTTCCACTTTGTGTTTTATGGACTAGTTCGTTGCATTCATATTCACGGATATGATTGTTAGGTTTGTTTTTCCCTCCCTGTTATATATTCCATTATTTCCTCTCTTTGTCCCCCATGCCGTTCTTTAAAAGGAAAAAAAAATGGGGAAAGAAAGAGAGTAAAATCAACCCTAATAATCTGAACTGTCTAATCTCAATCCTTTCCCCCTTTACTCAGTCTAGACCTAGATTACTGTGTCTTGTCTACATTTATCTAGCTTTGGTAATGAAGTCCTTTAAAGTTTATAAAGTACTTTGTATATTATCTTATTTGAACCTCACAAAACTCTGTAATGTAGATACTTTAGGTATTCATTATTCCCATTTTACAGATGAAGAAATGGAGACTCAAAGAATTGAAGTGACTTGCCCATGGTCACATAGTTAATAAATATTAGAAGTAGGATTCAACCATAGGTCTTCCTGATTCCAAGTTTAGTGTTCTATTCACCTTGCAACGCAGTGGATCGCCATTTGTCTGCTTCCAGGTGAGGTTGGATGCAAACCACACACAGAAGATAACCTCACTTTTCCTTCCCTTGAACATCTATGGAGAGACTTTGCAATCTTCCTACCAACCAGCTCCTGTAGTGGAAGCTCATCCCTTTTTTGTTCTCAGGAGAGAATAGTGGTTGGAAGCCTCGATGTTTCTATCCTTTTGTACCCTGCAGAACACTTTCCACGTACTTAACTGTTGGGTTTTCTCACTCCTCTAAGGTAGATAAGATGGATGCTCAGATACTTACTTTATAGACTCTTGTTTCTTAAAGTGAATCTTGGAATAATGAAGTGATTTGCCTGTAGTCACCCAGTTAGTTAATGACAGGTTGAGGATGAGAATACAGATCTTTTGACCTCTCCCTAGTCCATTGCTTTCCCCTTGTGACAGTAGTGCTTCCCACAGAGAGAAGACCTTTTTATATACTTGAAATATTAAATACCCTCTTAACATTTTCTTCTTCAAGCTATATAAATCCATTTTCTTTCTTGGAGACTGTCAATGTATTTTGCCTTACAACAAACTGAAAACACATGATGCAACTAAGTCATCATGACTGTCACTTGATTGTATTCTGACAAAGGAGAAAGGTAGAAAGCCTGGGGAGTGGGCTGCTGGGCCAGCAAAAGGTTGGAGATGCCCAGCAGCAGAGGCTGCTCACCAGGGGATGGCTTCCTCCTGGTGAGCCAGACAGGTGTATGTGTGGGGGGGAAGTTGATGAAGACCAGAGTCGAAGGCATGGCAGGAGTATCCATTGCACTGAAAGCACAGCTCTTTTTAAGTAAGTACAATTCAAGTAAGTAGAATGTTTTCTGATCACCATAATATTACTTAAAATAAAAATTTTACCGAGATTGGTTTTATCTTAGATTTTGACTGTATTTGCTAATTAGTACCTAGAATGTTAAAATCACTGCAAGCTGGTTCCAATTTTATATTAGATTACAGGTCTTCAGCTGGTCTAACACTTGTATAAATTAAAGTGTGTGTGTGTGTGTGTGTGTGTGTGTGTGTGTGTGTGTGTGTGTGTAAACAATTCCAGATTTTGTGTTATACAAAAAAAATTTGTACTTTCATGAACCTTTTTAAAAAATTTATTTTGGAAGCAGTGGGGGTTAAGTGACTTGCCCAGGGTCACATAGCTAGCTAGTAAGTGTCTCAGGCCGGATTTGAACTCAAGTCCTCCTGACTCCAGAGCCGGTGCTCTATCTACTTTGCCACCTAGCTGCTCCTAAACCTTATTCTTTTAATGGACATTTAAGCTAAATGTTGTTAAGACATTTAGCTCTTCAAGTGTTGCTGAAAATCCAAAGGATGTCTCTCTTTTGAAATTTCCTCTGAAAATAAAGCTTCAAGCTCTTACCTGTCACAACAGTAGGCAGTTGATTCAATGAGCAGTGTACCAAATTATAGTTAAAGCAATTAAGCAAAGTGGTTGTTATGAACTAGTCAAAAATGTGTTTGTTTATTTATATGCTTAATATCCTAGATGGCCCCACAACTGCAAATGATGGTGCTGAGTTCTATGGCAATTATCTGCCTCTGCCATCCTCTTGATTCATACTGGGCCTGTAATCTTGATGCTTGATGATGGAAATGGAGCAAGTGGTGTGACAGTGTTTTGAAGGCTAATAAATCCCTTTTGATGCCAAAATGACCTTCTTTGATTTGTATGTATTTTTGTGCCTTTCCTTTTCCAAAGGCATCATTTCACCGCTTGTTTATTTCACAGCTAGGCATGGGATTTTTTGGGCCCCAAACTTCACAAAGATGGACAAGTTGACCCTGAAAAGGAAATTGGTTCTTAAGTCCAGAATAAAGATTTCACCTTGAGGTGCATGGCTTTCAGCATACCACTTACTTGCATAAATGTGAGGTTACATTTTCTATGGAAATCTAATGAAACCTGTAGTACCTACCACTTTTGAATTGCTTCTGTTCTTGTCAGTGGTGAGACCTCAGAGGTTATTTGCAAGAAAGGAAGAGGAGAAAGAATGATTAGAGAAATTTGAGGCCTAGGAATTTGAAACCATTTTGTGGTTCATAAGATGTAGCTCTTAGATCTAGTCTAACCCACTCATTTTACAGAAGAGGAAACTGAGGCCCCCAGAGGGCAGGTAACAGGTTCATTTTGCCAGCCTTCAAACCTGGTTCCCTGGGTTCTGGATTCAGTGTCCTTTACCACCCTGCTCCTGTCCAGACCAAAAGCAGCAGCTTCTCATGTTACATATTAACAAAACATGCATGAATTTAATCCTCGGCAAATGCTCAGCACTGTTTACTTGGCATGTCAAAGGTTTTCTGGGGGGAGAAAATGTTTCCTAGTAGCACCTTATTTTTGAGGCAGCTTGTGAACAACACTAATAATAATTCTAGCTGGCATCTATGTAACACATTTTACAAGGCACTGTGTTCTCCTGAATTAATCTCATTTGATTATCAAAACAATCCTCAGAGGTAGGCAGGTAACTGTAATCTATATTTTAGAGATGAGAAAATTGACAGCTTTTTATAGGTATTGTAAGCTTTGTTAGGTTCCCACAGAAAATTTTACTGGTAGTTTAATACCGATCAGTGATTTCTGTGTTCTGGCCTTTAAAGACGTTCACCTTTCAGTTTCTACCTCTGCAAAATGAAGAGGTTGTTGAACTTCACATTTGAGGTCTTTTCTAGCTTGGAATATGTAACCTATGGCCCTGTGATTGGGCTTCAGCATTCCCTGTTCAGTAGTAGAGTGAAGCTTGGAACCCAGTCTTAATGTCAGGTTCAGTTTTTTTTCCTCTCTGTCAGGCTGCCTCTTCCCCTGAATTTTGAGAGACCACCAAAAGCTTGATTTTTTTTTCAGTTATTACTCCTGTTCCTTTGGCAGTGTCTGGCATATTGAATTAGAATCAATGAATGCTACAAAAAAAGATTCTTATTTGTGAGGACAAATGGTAAGAAAAAGGCATATGTGCCCATTTCCTGGAATCTGAAGGGGGTTATTTAATATTATTGTTTCCCATAAATATCACTAACGATTACTTTTCATTCCTCCATCATTGGAAGAGTTGACTAACTTCTGTGGAAATGACCTTAGATCCTTTTACTTTTTAACATCCTCTAAGCGTCTTGTTTATGATTATGTGGGAGGTGGAAGAGGACACTAGACACATTTGTTTTGCATGTGATTAAAATAATTGTGCTGAGCCTTGGTGACAGACTTTGCTTCTCTTGCAGGTGGCCCCAGAAGAATTCAAGACCAGTATTGGCCGTGTAAACGGATGCTTACAGAAGAACCTTCCGGTCAGCGTCAAGTGGTTGCTTTGTGGTTGCCTGTGTTGCTGCTGCACCCTGGGGTGCAGCCTGTGGCCTGTGGTTTGTCTTAACAAAAGAGTGAGTACAACTTGTTACAGCAGAGGGATCCTCTTGCCACTCATTTTAAACCCAAAGGGAATAAGCAGTACAGTCATTCCTTGGACACAGCTGTGGTTTCCCTAAAGCACTCTCCCACCAGTCTGAGACTCAGTAGGGCTTCTGTGAGTTATCAGTCTCTGCAGTTATTCAAAACAAGTGAAGAAACATTTATCAAGTTTCTATTCTGTACTAGGCATTGGGGATCCAAAGACAAATGAACTAGCCTCTGCCTTCAGGGAGATTCTAGTCTCCTAGGGGATGTCACATGTGCACAGGAACATAAATACAAAATAATGCCAAGAAGAAGAGAACACTAACAGCTGGGGGCCATTGGGGAAGGCAGAATTGAGTCTATTTTGTTTTCTAAAAATTGGGAAATATGTACCCTTTCCCAGGTCTGTGATCCCTTTGCTGTTCTCCACGATGGTTTGTGGATACCTGAGAATGGCTTAGGGCAACTAGGTGGCTCAGTGGATGAAGTGTGGGGCCTGGAGTCAGGAAGACTCCTCTTCATGAGTTCAAATCCGGCCTCAGACATTCCTAACTCTGTGATCCTGGGCAGTCACTTCATCCTTTTGCCTCAGTTTCCTCATCTGTGAAATGAGCTGGAGTCCTTGGAAAACTGCTCCATTATCTCTTCCAAGAAAACCCCAGATGGGGTCACGGAGAGTCAGGCCCGACTGAAATGAATGGACAGCAGCCACAACAAGAGTGCCTTAGCAGTCCCGTTGTACAGTTCTTTCAGTGCTCTGAGACTTACTCCCAGGGTATGGCCTGCTGACAAGAGACATGTTCACTTATTCTTTTCTTACCTAGCTTGGCCTTCACCTCTTGACTCACCATTGTTTTCTTGTCCTTTCCAATCCAAAGATCATTCTTGACAGAGAAAAGTGTCCATATAAGAATGGAACCTTTTCTTGGTCCTAGCCCTGCTCTGAGCCTACTGTTTTCCAGAGGGCAAGGAATGTCATTGGTATAGGAAGCTTTCTCTACCAATGCAGCTTGGCATTTTCTCTGCCATTTAGAATCTCAGAGCGGCCCTAATGCCCTGAGGGGTCACTTAGCCAGTGTGTGTGTCAGAAGAGGGACTTGAACCCAGGCCTTCCCGACTTCGAGGCCAGCTGTGCCGCATCTCTTTGTACATGCCTCCTTGTTCAATTGCCAGGAATGGGTAGTAGTAGTCATCTGTTTTAACAAACTTTGGAGACTAGCTTCTGTTCTGGATGCATGCCCCAGGAAGAGAGATCTTGCTGTCAGATAAGCAGAGAATCACCGACCACCAATGCTTAGTTCTTTCTCCCCTGGCCCTTTGTGGGTGAGCTTTTGGCTGAGCTCCACAGCATCTTTCCTTGAAGGGCAAGTAGCCATTTCCACCTAGACTCCCTTGGGGAAAAGCAGGGGCTCTTTTGCTAGTATCTTGGTATTCTGTAGACTTCTTTCCCTCCTTCTCTGTGTCATATTCTTTTATGCTCCAGCCTTTGAACCCTTCAGAGCCTTTTTCTTGGTTTTCACTTTGAAGCTCTTTAGTTTCTTAAAAGGATATTCCATTGTCCCTGAGATCCAGCTGCTCTTTGGGTAGGAATCACAATTCCTAGGCTGTGGCAGAAGGATAAACACACTGACTCCCTGGGGTTTACTAAAACTTTGCCCATTGCTCCATACTTTCTACCAATGGTAGTCCAAGTTAAACATACTTGGGCCTTAACCTGCAGCATAGATGTCCTAATACATGAACTTAAGTACTTAGTGATTTAAAATAGAAAGGCTGTTAGGATCATATACATTACTGCTTCTGCTCATTAACATGCATAAATGAATTTCTTGTATTAAATAACTAAGATTTTATTAAGGACACAACACCCTTTAATACATGGCTCCTGCTGAAAGTCTGTTGTTAGCTTTCTCGACTGGCAGCAAGCCTGGGCAGGGCCTTTTCATAAATCTCCAATCTGAGGAAGCAGGATGCCTTGGAAAGGGAATGAGATTTGAAGTCTGAGGGTTTTGCTGAGAATTCTGGCTCCTCCACAGACTGCCCAGCTGACGTTTACCAATTCCCTTGTCCTCTCAGAACCTTAGTTTCCTTATCTGCACAGCGAGGGGCTTGGACTGCATGGTCTGTAAGGGCCCTTCCAGCGCTAAGTGAATTAGCTTGCAATTATTGCCTGAATTCAGACATTGTTCAGAAGAACAATTGTGATTGTAGATCTGTTTCTAGATCTAGTCACATCACCTATTTTTAAGTTGTCTTCATTTATCATGACTAAGTTTTAGGGAGGGAGGGATAGAAGGAGAGAGAGAGAGATACAGAGAGAGACAGAGAGAATGGATGTGCGTGTGTGTGTGTGTGTGTGTGTGTGTGTGTGTGTGTATACACATGGAGATGGAGGAAATTGACTGTTATAGACAGGCTAATCTAGCTCTGCTTCTGTTTGCATGTTTGAAGTCCAAAAAGAAAGGGAAAAAACCCCTAGCATCAGCTATACAGAAATAAAAGGTCATAACTTTTTATTGCATGGATAACCTCGGAGCTCCCACTTTCCATTTCAGTCTTTGAAATGAGAGACAAATAGTTCTGCCTGGAGTCAGGTAGGCAGTCGTAACATGGTGTGGCCCTCCAGTCGTGCCTTACAGAGCACATTTCATCCTTTTGGGCAGAGATAGTCAGAGGTTAGAAACTAGTGCCAGTATCTTTTGTACTGATGAGAGGCAGCCTGACCTAGTGGGTAAAGGGCTATAGTCATGGAATCTCTACTCCATCAGTCATCAAGTATTTAATAAGCACCTACTGTCCGCTGGCTGCCAAGAATACAGGGATGAAGAAGGCAATAATCTGTTCTCTCACAAGGAGCTTACGTGTGTGTGTGGTGTATATACACATATGTATATATACGTAAATAATGTAAGTATACATACAGCACAGATATAAAGTTAATAAATGCATGTGTATCTCCACACATTTGCACCCGTGCATACACAGAGCATTTGAATACAAGGCAGTTTGGGAGGGAAGACTCTGAAGAGTTGGAAGGCTCAGGAATGACTTCCTATAGAAGATGGTCCCTAAGCAGCACCTTAAAGAAAGACAGGGACTCAGTGAGCGTGAGGTAAGGAGAGAGGGAGGGAGTGCGTGGAAATGCTGACCGGAGCATCACAAGTGAAGAAGAGAAAGAAGGCCAGACTGGGGCGGGGGGAGGGGGGATAATGGCCAATGAGGCCAACTCCTGCCTCTGCCATAAACTCCTTAGGTGACAGGTCCCTTCCTTCTCCATGCTTTAGGTGGTTGCCTGGCTTGTAATAAGGGAGTTGTTCATTTGTGCTGGTGGAGGGAATTTCCACACCCAAAGTGCCCTGCCTGGATGAAGCACAAGTCCAGACCAAAAACAAACCCAGAGACTCCTGGTTTCCTTCGCCAGCCTCCCCATCCCTGGCTTAGCTCCATGAAATACCTCTTCATTATTAATCTTGATATCCCCCAGCTTTGAGCATAGTGCCTTGCACATAATAAATAGCTGTCAAGTGACTGAAGGAATGAATTGTCTGTCCCTTTGCTGGGCTTAGAGCCGTAGCTATGTTAATATAGCATAACAAGAGCCAGACACCTTCCCCATAACCTTCCCTGGGGTGTTGCCATTCAGTTGATTTAGGTGTATCCAACTCTTTGTGACCCCATTTGGGGTTTTCTTTCTTTTTTTTTTTTTTTTAGGCAGTGGGGTTAAGTGACTTGCCCAGGGTCACACAGCTAGTAAGTGTTATGTGTCTGAGGCTGGATTTGAACTCAGGTCATCCTGAATCCAGGGCCGGTGCTCTATCCACTTCTCCACCTAGCTGCCCCTATTTGGGGTTTTTTTGGCAAAGACATTGGCCTGCCATTTCCTTCTCCAGCTCGTTTGACAGATGAGGAAACAGGCAAACAGGGTTGAGTGACTTGCCTAGGGTCACACAGCTAGGGAAGTGTCTGTGGTCAGATTTGACCTCAGGAAGATGAGTCTTCCTGACTCCAGGTTCAGTGCCCTATCCACTGCCCTACCTAGCTGCCCCTCAGAAAGGTCACTGACTTGCTAAGTGTCAGGGTTGACATCCGAAGCCAGGCCTTCTGCCTCATGGGGCTCTTTGTCCTGTGCTACCAGTAACTCATTACCAGTAACTCATTGCCAGCTAGGTTGCCTCTGGGACATTCCCCTACCCATACACAGCTGGCACAGACCTGCCTTTGTCTGTTGGTGTCCCCTCACTGGTTTAGACTGGAAGAGATGATCAGGAGCAGGCCATGACACCTCCACCCCCACCCCAGTGCCTGGCACTGGCGCTTCTCTGACAGAGCAGAAGTGAGCCTGGGTACTTAGAGTCAAGACAGAGCCTCAGAGAGAGGGTTTTGGAGGGTTAGGTCCCACATACTCTGTTTTGGGGGTGTGTTTTGGTTGTCAGAGCCAGCTTACACCTGTCATCAGAAGCCTTGGGCACATAAAGGATGGTGACATGGGGTATAAGTCACTTCACTTCCTGAAACCTCTCTTTGCCCATCTGTGACTTTGTAAGTAATTTGGGAAATGGGAGCTATTACTTCTTTCAAGATTTCAGGGTCTGTTAACATGTTCATTCAACCAATATTTATTAAGTACCTGCTCTGTGCCAAGCACTAGGGGTACAGGGACGAAATTGAGAGAGCCCCTGTCCTCAAGAAATTTACATTCTGTTAGAGATAAAGAGCATATAAGTCAGTCTGAAATAGATGCCACAAAAAAAATTAAATAGGTGCCACGTCAGTACCAAGTCATGTTGGGGGGCAGATGACTCACAACTGGGGGCCTCAATAAAAGTGTACTGGAGGAAACAATGCTATGGCTGAGCTGGAAAGCTGGGGCTTGTGAGAGGGGCAGGCAAGGAAGGCATGACACTGTGGCCCACCAGAGCCAGTGGAGGAAGGAGCAGGCCAGCTAGCAGGGCTAGGGCTCAGTACTGCTGGAGTGGAAGCGATGTGAAATTATGAAAAATCGTTGGCAGTCAAACTGAGAAGGGTTTGAAGGGCTCCAAAAAGCAGTTTGTAGTTTATGCTACAGACAATAAGGAGTTTCCAGAGCTTCTTTAGTGGGAGAGTGATAGAGGCAGACGTCTGCTTCGGAAATAGCACTTTGGGAGCTGGGTGGAAGACAGGTCAGAGAGGGGAGAGTGTCAATAGAGGGAGAACAAGGAAGAAGCTAGTACAGCAGTCCAGGTGAGAAGTAAGGAAGGCCTGAGCTGGGGTGCTTGTGGTATGGATGGGTGTGAACGATGTGCTGAAGGTCAGATTACTAAGATGACAACTGATTGGCTAGGGTTGAGGGCGTGAGGTGGGATGAAGAGTCAAGGACCGTTCTTAGGTTGCAAACCTGGGTAACTGAAAGGATGATGGTGCCCTAGACAGAAGTAGGGAAGTCTGTACATGTGTCAAGTTTGGGATGTCTATGGGACAGCTACTTGTAGCTGTCTGATAGTTGGTAATAGGAGTCTGGAGTTCAGGACAGAGACTAGGACTAAATATATAGATCTGGGAATCATCCACCATAGGCATAATTATTGAGCCCACAGGGACCCTAGGAAATCACCAAGAGAAAGTGTGTAGAAGAAGAGGCCTCAGAGGAGAGCCTTGGGGGATGTCTACAGTGGGCGGGAGGAGGATGGTTCCTTTGCTGGAACAAGAAGGGATGACCAGAAAGGAGGAGACTGAAGAGGGAGAGCACTGTTGAAAACCTTCATGAGCAAAGGGAGTGGCCTGGTGGAAGGAGTTACCTCTAATGTTAAATGCTGCAGAAAAGTCATGAAGGCAGAAGACTGAGACAAGACTATCAGGTTTAGCAGTGAAGATGTCCTTGGTAATCTTGGATGCTGAAGCCAGAAGTCAGACTGTTGAGGGTTTAGAAGTGAGTAGAAGAAGAGGAAGTATGGAGTTTGCTCTGGAGGAGAGGCCAACTTGAGGGGATGACAGGGTCAAGTGAAGGCTTTTTCAGGTTGGGGGGACCTGAGCATGTCTGTAGGCAGTGGCAAGGGAGGCATTAGGGAGAGAGAGAGAGAGAGAGAGAGAGAGAGAGAGAGAGAGAAAAAGTGAGTGAATGAGAGAATGTGAGAGAATGATTGAACAGGCAAGTTGCTCCTCTTTGCCATGCTGAGCTAAAGAAGGAGAGAGGAGGGAATGATGTCAGGGGCTTTGTAGGTGTAAGGTGTATTTAGTGCAGAGGGGATTCTTTATCAAGTCCAGGTTGGACTCGATGGCCCCTGAGGGCCCTTCCAACTAGGAGCTTCTGTGATCCTTTCTTTTTCATTCTAGCGCTCTTGCCAAATCTCTCCATTTTCCTAAATGGAAATTCAGTGAATTCCCTCATCCCCCACAGACCATTCCTTCCATCGTTCATGTCTTTCCCTCTCACTGTTAGTTTCCCAGTGGCTATATTTTGCCCACTCCTTTCCACAGATATCCTTTGGCATCATAGCCATGGCATCATGCTCCTTCTCAGGTAGGAAGCCCTTTTAGAGGAAAACTGGTTAGCTTGGCATGTTATGTGCCCATTAGAGATATAGCCATGTTCAAAGATGCATAGATAATCATCTTGGATTGGTTCTTTTTTAAAGATTTGTTTGTCAATCTTGAAACACTTGGTTAAGTTTTTATGATGGTCTCAAGAACTAAGTGAGTGCATTTGAGTTCATAATTGACTCATTTGGATGCATTTCTTTTTGAGAAGGTAGCACAGAGCTCTTTTGTGGAAATCTGATATTTCCAACAGCACCAACTATTTTAGCCTGAGTTATCATTTTTCTGAACTAGAAGTTATGAGAGGGGGAAGGGGTGATGGGATGAAGGAGGTAATGGGTTCTTATAGATAGAAAACATTAAATAATACGGTTTCCTAGGTGGATTAAAATGTATGTAAACTATATTCTAAAAAGCTATTGGCTCTTTTTTCCTCTCCCTCCTCCTGTAGACAAGAAGATCAATTCAGAAGTTGTTGGAATGGGAAAATAACAGATTATACCACAAGGTAAGAAATGTTGAATGGGATTTTTAGCCAAAGCATAATTTTCCTGTAAACCCTTACTGGTTCCATTCAAATAAGCTTTTGGTAATTAGATATATTTTTACTCAAACCTGTTTGTATAGGACTCGCAATTTAACTGCACTGGCTTTGCCCTGTATTTTGCAAAATCCCAGCCACCTCAGCTATACTCAGGGATGGTGTTGGACTCGCAATTTAACTGCACTGGCTTTGCCCTGTATTTTGCAAAATCCCAGCCACCTCAGCTATACTCAGGGATGGTGTTGCCATCACCCTCAAATATTCCTCTTCCATGTTCATAAACTCTGAAAGTCCCTTCTTTGATTATAATCTCTTGTCATTCCACCTTTCTTTCAGCCTTTTAACCTCTAACTCTGTTCTTCAGCCTCACCATGACCTCCTGTCACTCCTTCCCTCAGCCTGCACTGGCTACACTCTTCTCTCTTTCCTATCTTGACCTCTTGGTAAATTCAGTTCCACTTTACAATATCCTCTGCACTTGAATCTCTTTCTTCCTTGTCTTGTTGCTGATCACACTTTCCCAAACCCCAATACTGGATTACTCTCACCATCTGCCTCCTTCATTTCTACCTACATGCTGCTAATAGAGCTGAAGAAAATCCCAAATCTATGTTGACTGTGTCTACTACATATATATTTTTTTTAATATTGTGATAACGGTATTTCATTATAATTGGTTTCCTTTGTAAAATCCTATATATTTTACTTTATGCATTATTCTAATACATTATTCTAAAAAGAAGTCCATAGATTTTTCCAGACAAGATCCATGCCACAAAAAAAGGAGACACAGAGCTAGTAAGTGTCTAAGGCTGGATTTGAACTCAGGTCTTCCTGACTCCAGGCCCAGCTCTCTGTCCACATTTCTGTCTAGCCCTGTTCTCTTTCATGAGCTCTGGTCCTCAGTCTCTCAAGTGCCGCCCCACATAGCCAGTCTGTTTTCAATCTTGTTTCTACAGTCACAGTTTTTCTTCTATATGTCCCATTCTTCCACTCACACAGCTATCACATTGGTGCATGCTCTAGACAATTGCAGTAGCCTCAGATTTCTTCCCATTCCATTCCATCTTTCCCTTAGCTTTCCTAAAATATAGGTTTCACCTTGTAAGCTCTCTATTCCTGTTGTTTCCCCCATTAGAATGTCATCAACCTCACCTGGACTGTTTCAGTAAACCCATAATTGGGTTCCCTGCCTCAGGTTTCTCTCCATTCTAGTCCACTCAGCTGCCAGAGTGATCTTCCTAAAGTGTAGGTTTGATCATGTGAACCCTTCTCCCTCGCCCCCCTCCCCACATCCCAATGGCTTCCTCTTACCTCCATTTGATACTCAAGGCGCTTCACAACCTGGCCCCTTGCTACCTTTCCAGTTTTCTTATCCTTTCCTCTCCTCTATGCACTGTACAGTCCAGCTACCCCGGCCTTCTTGCCATTCCTCAAACACGACGTTCTGTCTTCCCTTTGCGTATATTTGTTCTGGCTGCCCCCCACACAGGAATGGTCTACTCTTCACTTCTGCCTTTCCAATCCCGCCGTTACAGTCGGCCTTTCCCACTCTCCCCCACTACTAGTGCCTTCCCTCTAAGCACACTGTATTTATCTTGTATGTATGTGGCTGTTTGTGTACGGCCTCCCCCCACTGGACTCTGAGCTCTTTGATGTCAGGGCCTGTGGCCTTTTGCCTTTCTTAACCTCAGTGCCTGGAACATAGTGAGTGCTTAACAAACATTTCTCGATTGACTAGAAGGGAGGACATTCGAGAGGTGTTGGAATGGATGGGGAGGAAGCCAGTGGTTTATGTGGGTGGTGGGGCCGCTGGGGACAAGAGTACAACTGCAGAGTCAGGAGAGTGTGGGGCCAGGAACTCACTGTAGTAGGGATGGAGAGCGTGAGGAGGGGAGTAGGATGAGTTAAGGATGGCAAGGTAGAATGCCAGATTATGGAGGACCCTGTGAGCTGGGTAGAGGAGTTTTCTCTTTCCTTAGGAAGGACTAGGGAGCCCCTGAGGAGCTTTGAACAGAGAAGTGGCCTGACCAAATCTCTGCAGAAGGAAACTGACATCACCTTTAACCAATTTTATTTTCCTAGCTTGGTCTGCACTGGAAGTTGAGTAAAAGGAAATGTGAAAGTAGTAACATGGTGGAATATGTAAGTATGTATAAAAATAGGCTTTTTTCGCATTACTTTGAGGGTATCCATTTTAAAATGTATAATTCAGTGGATATTATTGTTGACTACCCCATTTTTTTAACTTTGGTCTGCTTACTGTAAACATCAGTCTTTTTTTTAGAGTTATGGGTAGTAACATAATTATCCTGAAAGCTACAACCAATTGTTATGCCTTAGAAAAGTCTCTGCCGGTACAAACAATATTGTACCAGTTTAATAATCCACTCGTGAAACATTCACAAGCCATAGCGACAAAGTCGCTGTGGTGGCAACAGCTGCTGCTGCATGACGCAGAATTTGGGAATGGCATCTTGTGAAAACATGCATCAAAAATACCAGTCGGACTTGGGAGTCTTTGTGGAGGGGGCCCTATCTTCTTCTGGCTACCTAGCTTTGATGAAAGCAGAGGAAAACAGATTGTGAATTGTGTTTTTGACTTGAAGATGGGCTTAAGTGTTCTTAATTCATAAACCACTGATCCCCACATATGGTCAACCTGAGAAACCTTAGTGTCAGTTACATAGAGACGGAAGAGCCCTTTAACTACATTTGGAGTATTATGTTTCCTATGTCCAGAAGAGCAAATTGCTTTTCTTCAGTGGATGTTTTAATAAAAATCTATTTTCATGAGGACTTTAAAGTTGAATTATGAAAAGGTGTGGTGGAGAAAAAAGCCACGAAGTCTGAAGTCCCTGGGTTTGGGTGCCCTTTCTGTAATTACTAGCTATTGTCACCTTGGACATTTTACTTCTTTGGGCCCCACCAGTTCCTTCTGCTGTAGAATTTGGATGTTGGACTAGAAGGGATTCTGCACCTTTTTTCTGTTATGGTCTCCTTGGGAAGCCTGTGGACCCCTTCTCAGAATCCAGGTTTTATATGCATAAAATAAAATACATGGGATCACAAAACAAACCAATTCTATTGGAATGCAGTTTTTGGAATATTAAAAAGAAAAGTTTACTCACCTCAGGTTAAAAATCCCTGTGCTAAATGGTCTCTGAAGTTCCTTTCAGCTCTTAAGAAATTCTGTAATCTCTCCTTCTCTCTTTCAAGCCCTTTTGAACCAAAAAAACACCCATGATCACAAATTCAAAATTCAGTGTAGGATGAGACTTTACCTAGGATCATAGCTGTGGTATAAACAGCTCCCTAGTTGGATATGTTGCCTTGTTGAGTATCATACCTCCTGTTCAGATTTGGGATCGGTCCATTTGAATCTTCATTTAAGGAAAGACTCATTCACCAAACCAGTCTTCCGTGTAAAAAGCATGTTTTTCTCCTTGTCGATATTGAGCCCCTCTGTAGTACCTGCCCCCCCCGACAGAAGAGCAGTAATAATGTTAAAGATGTTGTTTTGATGAGTATAAACAAACATCTAGTTAGACAATTAAGACTTTTAGTATTGACAGTATTACAGAGGGTTTGATTTGTGAGAGGCCTGAGAAACTGACTAGTTCAGCCAGCCCCCTCATTTTGCAGGTGAGAAACTGGTCTGGAGAGGTGGGGGGAACGATTTGACTATGTGCCTTGCCATTGTATCATATGTAACCTAAAGGGACGATCATTTTACTCTTTAGAGACAAACTTATTTGTGAGAGACTGTTTTGAATAGACTTGGACTTGCATTGTATTTATTACTGAGTCCAAAGTATGCTCCCACAGCAAATGAAGATAGATGTCAGTGTTTAAATGGAAATCATTTTCTCACTATGTTCTTTTTTGGTTGTTTTGCAGGTAATCCTAATAGAATTCCTACCAAAGTATCCCATATTCCGACCCGACTAAAGCATCACAATCCAATCACTTTCACATTACCTGTCGTTCTCTACCCTTAGTGCCTTGTTAGATGATTTTGGAAAGGAGATGGTCTATTTTGTTGTGTTCAGAATGTTATAATGCTAGCTAGAATAGTCTCCTTACTCAGTTATTTTTGTTGGTTTAAGAAGAAAGCAATTTGCACATTTTTTCCCCTGTTAAATGAGGTTTGTGTTTTGCACTCAGAGTTTTTAACATAAACAATAGTTTCCACTAAGGATCTAACATCAGTGCTGATTTCAAACAAACAGAGCTTGTTCTGAGCATGCTGTCTTTTCATTTGTATAGCCCTTGTCTCTTTCTCAATATGTTTCATTTGACTAGGACATTCTTTCAAAGCACCCTGTTCCTATAAACCCTTACAGATAAGCTTTTGGAAACTAGAGCTCATTTTACTCTACCCTGCTTGCAAAGGGCATGCAATTGATAGCACTGGTTTGGTCCTGCACTTTGCAAAATCATCACCTATGTTACTGAGTCGGCTCCTTAAGCCCTAACTTAGGCCTTGTATATATTGCCTCCTTGCTTAATCTAAACTGTGATATGCCATGGTTTCCAGAATGTAAAACTGCTTTTACTGCATTGCCAATGAGTCTGCGTAGATTTGGAAACTACGAATGACGTTTGGAAGCATCCTCTTGATTGTATAGACCTGTATATGCCAGCTTATGGCCAAGCCATAACAAATTGTCTTGGCGTTGTTCAGGTGTTAGTCTAAGTTGTCTGTTGTAACAAGTAGACTTAAAATGCATAACTGTACTGATGTTCTGCACTGTTTCTGAAACAAAAACCTTAGTTGGGAAAGGTTGGACTACATGTTTACACACACACACACACACACACACACACACACACACACACACACACACACGCACGGAGAATACACACGTCCCTGTGCCATCCAGGACATTTTTGCAGCCCCCTTCTACCTTGCTTTTTTTTCCCACACAAATTTCCCTGCCCCTAATGACATCAGCCATGTCCCTGCCTCTCTCTCTACCTTTCCCCTGTCAGGAAAAAAGAAGACAAAATCCTAGGTCCTCCCCTATACATGTGGCGCCTCATAACAGTGTCTGGGGGAGTTGGGAAGGCACCATCATGAGCCACTGACCACCTCTGGGTGCTCTGCTTAGCCTGAAATGGAGAAGCTACAGTTTAAGATTAGACAGTAGCTGATTCAGAACTGATTGAAGGTCCCAAATCCTTGTTTGAGGGCATTTTTTTCAAACTGCCCGAAACAAGAAATTAGAAAATTGTTTTAAACATTTGGATAATAGCAGTAATTCAAGGCATGTATTTAGCTGGAATTCTTTGTAGCTTCTGAATTCTCCATGTCAGGCTACCTGGTTGGGTTGTACATGGGTCTTAGTTAAGTGTGAGAGGAAGGAACTCTTCTGAAGTTTAAAAATGAAATATTGGGAGGCCCAGATCAAGTTAATAAGGTTGCATAGGGAGATACACAGTGATACGGATTGAGCATTTAGAATTGAGCAGCATTATTTGGTCCATGGTGTTCATAATAGTGGCCATTAGGAGCCCTTTAGGTGCACTTCCTATTAGAGACTATAAAGGCCAAGATTTTTTCACCCAACTGTTATGTTACAGATATTTTGTTCAGATACCCTCCTGCCTTTACTTTCAGTTCTATTCTCTTTCCTTTCCCCCTCAAAAAAGCAAAATAAAAATATACTTAATGTGTGCCTGCTAATAATTACGTGTTTGCCTACGGCAAAATCAGAGGTTCATTTGCCAAGGTAGTAAAGTGGACACCTCTGAAAATTCACCTAACACCTTTTGTTTTCCTGTGGAGGTTAGGGAAAATTATATCTGTGGTTTCATTTCCAACCAGCATCATCCAAATGACACTTTTTTAGACTATGACATTTGAATACCAGAAATTGGTTTCCAGCCTATTGTGAGATGTCTGGTTCTCATTAATAGAATAATAGCTGTTGAGTGTTAACCTCACAAGTCTCATTTTCTTTGAGGAATTGAAATTTGGTCAGTTCCTTTGGCTGTCATTTTTACAATCCGCACCACCACCGACCCTTGGTTTTGTCTGAAGAATGACACCAAGTTTGGAATTGTTTCCATGAAACACGAAACACATAAGTGTAGATAACCAGGAGCAGGAATTATTCAGGGGGAGGGAAGCCTGTGGCAAGGGAGGAGTGAGTGTGGGGTGCAGAGTCTTGTACTAGTACAGATAGTTAATTGTGAGAAAGGACTTTGATAGCTTTATAAAAGTATTTCTAATGCTGCTGTTCATTACATTAGAATTGACTCATGGGCTCATCTCATTTTCTTAAGTTATCCAGACACTATCTACCCAGTTTTCTTTCTTTCTCTTTCTCATTTTTTGGGTTTGCTTGTGTTTCCAAATGGTTTTTCTTTTGAGGAGTCAGACAAAAAGTTAGATGTAGTTGAGCATTTGGGGGATTTTGTTTTCTTTTCAATGACATTGTCACAATGGCTTATGGATGGATGATGACACTGGAGTGCTGTGGTTGCTCATTGCTCCCCCAGAGTGAGTTAGAACGCAGTTCTCATTGATTCCACCAGGATCTATCCTTTGGGTTTGTCACATTTGGTGAAAGGCAGGGCCAGATTGAGGGAATCCCAAAGGAATTGCCTGCTCACGCAGCTAGCTGCTCTTTTCACAAAATAGTGTGGGGAAAAAGTTCAAAGTAATGTTCTGTTACCCACAGCCTGGAGGTCTTTTTGCCCATGGGGTTGTGTGATATTTGTTTTTCCCCAAGCTCATCTTTCCTACCTTTTTTTTCTTACCTTCTGTTCTTGCCTTCCTATCACATTTCTTTTTTTTCCCCCCAACTCTCTCTCTCCTTTCTCCCTTGGACACCCCCTTCCCCACTTTGAAACAGTAGTTGAGGCTACACACTGTGTGTGCTTCTCTACTCAATGAGACTTATGTCTTCAAGAACAGAGAGGGTAGGATGGATGGATGTCCTTGCCCACCCCTTCCTCCCCCAGCCCTGGGTGGACAGTTTGGTACAACTGGTTTATGTTTCAGTTTTGGTAGAAGGGAAACCATTTATATGGTTTTGCTAACCAGTACAGGCAAGTGTTCATTCATTCCTCGGTTATAGTTCTCCTGGTCAGGGGTGCTCCCATCCTCCCTTCCCTGTGCTAGATTAGGATTGCAACCATAAGAGTCTGCTAGCAGAGGTTGTTGGACCTCTGTTGTATAAAGGTGTTGTTGAAAAAGTGCCTTGTCTGTCTTGAGTAAAGATGTTAGGCTGAAGTTGGGGGCAGGGGAAGAGCAAAACAAATTGGTCCATAGGACTATATATAAGTAGGCTAAAAAAAAAATCACCCTCCTCAAATAGCAATAAACCATCTGACTAGATTATTTTCTTGTTTAAGGTCTGTTATTTGGGAGATTTTTTTGAGGGGAAAATTCAGTCATGTGGTGAATGTCAGTGTCAGAAAATATTGGCAGTTCACTAATTATTTGCCCTCCATTCGAGGAAGTTTCATTTCCATGTTGCCCCATAAACCAGTGTTCAGGCTAATTCTTGAGCGTGGGAAAGTGGCATTTCACTTCCTTTTGGAAGAAAGAGAAGCCCTGGGACATTGAGCCATGTATGAGTGACCCCTGACAAGTCACTTGTAGGTACATCGCCCGGCTTCAAGCAGTAACTCCCACTGTTAGTGGTGATCAGCAATCTTCTCCATTTCTACTGAGCCATGTTTGAAATTTTTTTTTTTAAGGTCTGAGGGGTATTTTTTTGCCCTAGTGAAAAAGGCTGTAACATTTGTAAGTTTATGAAAATAGTTTTTATTTTTCCCAATTCTTAACACTTTTATTTTGTTTACAAGTTTTTTTAAAAAAGCCACTTTAAAAAAAGTAGTCCCTCACTACTTGAGCTTAAAATCATAAAAGCGTTTTGTCTTGAGATTGTACTGTATTAACCTGCCTGGGCCAGGTCAGGGAGGCAGAACTTCACTCCCAGCTGGTTAATTGGAGCACTTTGACCTGTGGGGCTATTCCATTTAAGTTTGAGATGTGAGGCCTGAGGGAAGGCCTCTGATGGCCTGGCAGGCAGGTGCCTTTTGGCCTTTATCAAGGACTATGCCCAGCTCAGATGGCGTGGAAGGCTTCATCTCCACAGAGAAGGGAGAGAGGGACTGGTTGGGATCTGTACTCTTGCAAATGAAAGGGAAGGGAGTTTTTATGTTTTCCTCTTCAGTTTTGTTTCTCCTGACTCTGAGCACACGTTTTCTATTTTGTTGGTTCCAGTCTCCCAGATCGTGGAAAATTCGGGAGTGGAACACTTAATACTGAATTCTTACCTTAGAGGAAGAACACCTAAGAGCCACCACCACCTGGGTCCTCCCTAATTCTGCCACACATAGCTTAAATTCTCAGTGCCTCACACTTAGTAGCCATTGACTAGATAGGTATTTGGTGATCAACTAAGTGTACAGTGGCTGCTGCATATTTAGATCCCAAAGACCCAAGGAAGCTGAAGTTCCTCTCCATCCCCTTGCCTCCCTCCCCCTCAACCTGAGCCCCTCCCTAGTGGTAAGCACTAATGCCTCTTCTAGAGGGGCCTCATCACCAGGGAGGGGCTAAGGCCCTGAGGGATGCTGGCTCCTTGAGTCTTTGGAATCTGAATGCGCAGTTGCCAACTGCTATCCAGGCAAGAATCCCAACTATGATGACAGGGGCAGATGGGGGTGGGAGGGAAGCCCCATTTTGACATTTTATAGGGTAGGAATTTCACATCTTAGCATCTGGCTCACTTTTTCAAAGAGCCACTCCCTGCAGATCTGTGGGAATAGGATGGATGCTACAGAGACATGGAAAGTCAAATGGTTTAGAAATCCAAATGCAAGTCATTCCTGGCCGAATTCAGGGCTCTGCTGAGTTCTCTTCGACAAGTGACTTAATTCCTCTGTACCTCACGTCCTTGTAGGATAACAAATCTGGACCTACCTCACAGGGGAATTGAAGCTCATTTCATACATTAATGTGTTCTGGATGACTACTGACAGACGTTCTGAGCGCCACTGTTGTGTACGTTTCAGAAGTGATCCTTTTAGATCCATCTTTGGTTTATTAGTTGAACCACACTAGATGAGTGCCACAGCTTGGCTTAGGGCAGCTCTGAGGTTCTCTATGTCTGTGGCTTTCTACCTGTTAGACAAACACTTGTAGTTTGGGAGTTCCCCCTGCAGACTATACTTCACATATTCTTGTGTGTCCGTACTATCCTTTCCCTTCTTATTAGACTTAGTTTGCTGACAGAAACGCTCTTCGATTTCAAATGCACAGTATTCTCTACCCCTTTCTGCAGGCTGTAAGTGTTGTCTGAGATGACAAACTCTTGGTCTGTTTTTGCTGCACTGGGGATGTGTTGTAGCTTCAGGTTAGCATTTGCTTCTGCCTGAGACAGAAATATTTAAACGACTTCATTTAGTGTGTATACAAAGTATTGCAGATGTTGAGAATGTTGCACTGTTATGCTCCAGCATGGGACTTGGAGTTCCCAAATATCTTCAACTAAAATCAGTTCCGCTTGGAAACTTAATATAAACAGCAACTTAAAGCAATAACGTCCCCAGTGTTAACTTGTGTTCTCATCCTCTCGGTTTATTCTGTAAAAACATTATTTTAAACTCGATTTTGTTGTCTCCCCAATAAATAGATGAAGCTTTCAAACTAGTTATCAATGTTTTAAATGAAGCGTAATCTCAAAGCTCACTTGGCACCCCTAGTTATTTACCAAACAGAGGCATCAGAGGATTCCAAGGTGTTTCCTGGAACGATGATCGAACAGCAAGGCCAAAAAGCCAGAGAGGAGCCATTTCACAAGACACTTTGTTGAACTGCCCACTCTTTCTGTTTTGTGGCAGAGGACTCTTGTTGGAACAGCTTTACCAGCGGAGAATGATAATCGTTTCTATCCAAACCAAGAATTCTCCTGGACCTTCAAATGTTATGTAACCTGTCGAATTCTGTTTTTCCCTCCTGTAGAATGTAGTAACTCCCCCCCCACCCAAGAAGAACTCTTCTTATATAGCTGTGCCAAAACTGAAGAAACATGCTTTTATGAAACTTTCAGTGTTGCTTTTGTCTTTGTTCATTTGTCAGATGTAAAATTGATTATCTCAGGATTGCAAAATTAAAGTCAAATGCAAACCAATGATAGTCATTTTAAGTCCTGTTTTTTTGGGGTATCTTTCCCTCCCCTCTGTACTAATCCTTACAAAGTAGATACTCGAGGCTCTCCTCTCCAACCTTAATTTGGCATGTCATCAATTCCCTGTGAGTCCATGATGGATTCATGCCTGATTTTGCAGTGCTCTTAGGTACTTTGAGTTGTGTCTGTGCTTTGGAACTCGTCCAGGAAGGGAGGTGATTTCAGATGACTTTGCTCTTGATCCAGAACACTACCTCTTCACTGTGGAATTGAAAAGGAAAGACAAGTAACCAGGTGTAACTAGACCTAGTTGAACATAAGACTTAAATGCTAGTGCTTTGTTGAAAGAGGGGAGGAATCTGCTCTTCTAGAGAGCCTGGTGCTCCACAGTGGGTGTATGAAGAAGTCAAGGATTAACACCATCTACTTGATTTACTACTCAACCTGATTAAACATGTAAAAACTATATCAGGCAAATAAATCATCATCTGAATTTTTCTTAACCCATCAACAATGCAAAAGGCACAGCAAACTGAATAAACCTGATAGATAGGGTTTCCCAGAGTCTTTGGAAATTGAACTGAATTAATTCTCTTCCAATACTAGTATTCTGTGTTCTAAGGTCCCTTCTAGCACTGACATTCCATGTACCTAAGACCCTTCCAGATTCCATGGGCCTTCTATCCCTAGCGTTCTATTTACAGATGACCAGAACATTATGCAAGGAGACTAGAAGAGAATAAGAAACTTGAAGAGGGGCCCTCCAAGAGTTTTCAAGGTAAAGGAATCGTCACCTCTGTTGACCATGAAACCTTAGTACGCTGGCATGGGAGGTACACAGTGGGTCTGATGAAACCACAGCTTGGTTAATGCCAAGCCTTAAATAGGGATTTTATTGCTTCGGGTTCTGTGGATGCGATTTATCAGGAGCCCTTCCCTTTCCCACCCCCACTTGGTTTTAGGGATTAGGGATGGGGGTGTCTTCAGCACATAGGGGAAACCTTGTGGAAATATAACATTTAATCCCATTCACATCCTCTTTTTTGGGGAAATGCACCTACCCTCTGCACACCCACATTGTAGATGTTTTGTAATGACATTATGCAAGTTGTCTGAATTCCAGCCCTGTCCTCCTCTCCTCCTACTAGGTGTCTCTGTCACAGTTATTTCAATCAGCATTTCAGCTCCATGCTGGTGGACAAGAAGGGCAATTTGTTTTTCCACTGAACCTCCACTGAGCCCAGGCCTGAAAGCTAACTGTTACCATTGGCTTGGGTCTTCAAGAATAACAAAGGCCTTTGGTCTGTTCCAGGCACTGAGTCACAGCTGGGGCTGGAAGGGAGGTTGAGTGCATTTCATTGCAAGATATTAGAATGCTTCACCAGTGGTGTGATTTGGCTCCTCAGAGCAGTCACTTCCTTCTAGTTATTTGTTACAGCACCAGAAAGGAGGAACAGGGTGGAGATCTGTCCATTGGAAAGAGCTGGTGCAATCATGTGAGCCTCCAAGACCAGCCCATCTGTCCCCTCCCTAGGCCAGGCATTTCTGTTTGAGATAATGTCTGGTCAATGGGCCTTAAGAAGACAGAGACAAGTTTTGGGATGACCTTGATGCCATGATTTGTTCTGATAAGTTTTCTCCTGATTTATAAAGGCATGACTGGTTTCTTCAACAAATACATCTTAGGATTTAGAGCCAGAAGGTACTTTAAAAATCACCTAGGCTAATATCCTCAACTGACAGATGAGGAAACTGAGTTAGAGGGTGGGGAAAGGCCTCAGGTCACAACACACACACATTAATCGGTGTGTTAAATTGCACTTTGTGCCCTAGGCCTACAACAGATTTTTTTTTTCTCATTCAACCACTTGTGCCCTACTTCACAGGACTGAAAAGTAGAATAAAAGGATTTGTTCTGTCGAACTTGGACTCAGTCAAAAGGCCACATTTGAGGACCTAGAGGGCTACATTGGCCTCGAGGCCACAGGTTCCCCACCTGTGTGCTAGTCCAAGCTCATCTGGCTAATAAGTGATGAACCTGGTAGGATTTGAACTGAGGTCTCTGGATTTTAAATTGAATGCTTTTTCATCACTCCACAAAAATTACCCTCTCCAAAGTAACTGGTATCTCCTAATTGCCAAACCCAGCAACCTTTTCTCAGTTGTCACCCTTCCTGACCTCTCTGTAGCATTTGGCACTGTTGACCACCCCCTCCTTCTAGATACACATTCTGGATTTTTGGTCTCCATTGTTAGATCATCACCCGTGCCCTCTCCCCCTCCTCAACTCCTTTCCTAGGCACTCTTTTCTCCCTATACCCTCTTGACGACTTCATTACTATCTCTGTGCAAATGACTTCCAGATTTATACATCCAGGCCTGCTCTTTGTCCCAAGCACCACTCTCACACCACCAGCTGCCTATTGAACATTTTTTTTTGAGCTAGACAATGAGGTTAAGTGACTTGCCTAGGGTCACACAGCTAGTAAGTGTTATGTGTCTGAAGCTGGATTTGAACTCACGTCCTCCTGAATCCAGGACTGGTGCTCTGCTATTGGACATTTTAAACTGGATATCCCCAAAGCATCTCTAGACTCAACATATCCTACATAGAACTCTTTCTTTTCACCTTCAAACCTATTCCTGAACTTCCTTTTTCTGTCAAGGTACAACCATCCTTCCAGTCACCTGGGTTCACAAGCTTGTCATGGAATCAGTCTTGATTTCAAATCCCCCCCACCCCCATGTTCAATCAGTTTCCAAATTTTGTTGACATCTCTAGCCTCTGACCTTTTCTCTCCATGATGGCCAGAACCCTGGTTCAAAACCTTATCACCTTTTGCCTGGACTATTGCAACATTCTCATTGATTTCCTTGTCCCCAATTTCTTCTCTATCCAGTCTATCTTCCATACACTTGCCAATGTGATATTCCTGAAACATAGGCTGCCCAAATCACTCCTGTGCTCAAGCAGCTTCAATGGCTCCCAATTGCCTCTGATCAAATACCAGCTCCTTAGACATGTAAAGACAAACCTGACTCCAGCCTACCTTTCAAGGCTTATTACACATTACCCTCTTTAAAGAACTCTATCATCTAGCCAAACCAACCTGCTTGCTGTTTCTTATACACAGTATTCTGTCTCCTATCTCCATAAATTTTCAGTCTGTCTTCCATACATGGCAAGTATTTTCTTCCCACCTTTCACTTGGACTATTGCAATAGGTTGGCTTCCTTGCCTCAAGTCTGTCCCCACTCCAGTTCATTTTCCTCCCAGCTATCGAATTGATCTTCCTAAAGCATAGGCTTGATCATGTCACCCTTCCCCCATTCAATAAATAAATAAATTCAGTGCCTCCTGCTTACCTCCAGAATCCAATATGAAATCCTGTTTGGCATCCGACAACCTTCAGAATCTGGCTCCTTCCTACCTTTCCAGCCCTTTTACCCCTTCCTCCCCTCCACTACTCTGTTCCTCACTCAGGGCACTGCATCTCCTGATTCTGGGCATTTTTTCTGGCTGTTTCTTATGCCTGGAATACTCTCCCTCCTCACCTCTGCCTCCTAACTTCCTTGGCTTTCTTCACATCCCGGCTAAAATCCCACCTTCTATAGGAATTCTTTTCCAATCCCTCTTAATTCTAGTGCCTTCCCCTTGTTGTTTTTTGTTGTTGAGTCGCTTCGGTTGGATCTGACTCCCTGTGATCCCATTTTGGGGTTTTCTTGGTAGAGATACTGGAGTGCTTTGCCATTTCTTTCTCCAGCTCATTTGATGGATGAGGAAACTGAGGCAAACAGAATTAAGTGACTTGCCCAGGGTCACACAGCTAGGAAGCATCTGAGGCCAAATTTGAATTCAGGAACGTGAGTCTTCCTGACTCCAGGCCCAGCACTCTGTGCCGCCTAGCTGCCCTTTCCCCCGTTAATTCTCTCCAATTTATCCTGTCTATATCTTGTTCGCTTGTTATCTCCCCCATTAGACTGTGAGCTCCCTGAGAACAGAGACTATCTTTTGCCTTTCTTTGTATCCCCAGTACTTAGCCCAGGGCCTGGCACATGCTCGGTGATGTGCTGATCCCCACCTCTTAGAATCCCTAGCTTCCTCCAAAGCTTAGCTCAAGTGCCTTCTCTTACATGAGGCCTTTATTGTTTTTCCTAGCTATCAGTGAATACACAGAGTCATAGGATTATAGATTTCGAGCTGGAAAGGATCCTGGAGGCCATCTTGTCCAACCCCTTCATTATACAGTTGAGGAAACTGAGGCTCAGGACTTGCCCAAGATCACACAGGCAGTAAACATCAGAGGTGGGATTTGAACCCATGTCCTCCAACTCCAAAACCATTGCTATTTCCACTTCCCCAATAGAGTGTAAACTCCTTGAGGGCAGGGATTTTTATTTTTTTGTCTATTGATTCCCAGCACAAGTAGTATACATAGTATAGTTTACTACACAGTAAACTACATAGTAGCTGCTTCATACATACTTGTTGCTTGTTCCTTCCTCCTTCCTGCCCAGGGAACTCATCCCTTAAGGTGCTGCGGTGCAGGGGTTGGTGTGGGGTACAATCCAATCTCAGAAGGCAAAGGTTAGATGCCAGTGCCAGCAGCTAAATTAGGCAGCACCACCATGCCTCCGTACAGTGGCCATTTGGTCAGGGAACCCTTCTAGTTATCCTACCCTGTTCAGAATAGGATCTGAAGCTGCATTCTGCAGTGCCTGCCTACTGGCTACATTTTTTCCAGGTGTGGGGAGCTTATGCCACTTCAGGGACAGGGATCTGGGGGTGCCAGGCTATTGGCAGGGAGAAATGGTCTCCAGAAGCTCTGCGGCTTTGGGCATCATTCCAGAAAGTGGAGCCAAGCTGGCACTGTGGGAAATAGAGACATCATTGGATGGTAGTACTCTTCATATAGTGGAAGAAACACACAAACCATTTTGTGTATTTCGTGGGGTAGCAGAGGGTCTACCTGTGTGACCTTGAGTGAATCTCTTCTCCCAGGGCCTCAGTTTTCCTCCTCTGTAAAATGAGAGGGTTGGCATTTTTTGACTCTTTCTATGATTCTGTGAACTGCCTTTTCTGAGCAACATCAAGGGATTGTTAGTGGTAGAGCCAGAATAAACCTTGTTCATCTATTCCAGTACCCCTCATTTTACTGAGGGGGAAACTCAAACCCAGAGAAGCAGTGACTTGACCAAGTTCACACAAGTACTATCAGATTCAGACTCAGGCCTTCCAATTGAGAATCCAGTGCTCTTTC